CATCCAGGAAATGAGCAAAACTTACCAAGTAAACTAAAGAGGGGGGGGGGAGGCGTTTCCTAAGCTATAAAACTAGGATTAAAAACACTGTATTCACAAATGCCGTTTTTCCATCACCAGGACCAGCTCGACTCGACCCTGCTCCGTTTTCCATTGCAGTAGTACCCGCCGCCTGCGGAGCTCCTCAACTCATTTTTGTTCCGCCATCACTTATCAGAAGTGGATTTAGTGATGAAATAACGTGTGAAAACTGTAAAATATAAAACTTCCTGTCGCCTCTGGCTGGTGCACTGATGCAGTGAATAGTGAATATTCTCTCTGACCAATCAGCAGTCAGCTGTGTTTTCACGTCACAGTTTAGTTTCCCTGTACCTGGAAGCAGGTGCAACTTTTCCACAGTGGAAAACCAAAAGGAGTCGAGCTGGTACCGCGCGGTGGAAAAGGGGCTAAAGTTACCATCCCAGTGAGATCACGATCAGTCAGGCATGATGTAAACACTGAAACTGAAGGTTCGGGCCTCATCTGTAGATGCTAGAAATGTTTTATGTTAAAATGCTCACATGCTGCTACCTGCTCTGTGATTGGCTCTTACCGAACACTAAGAAGTTAGAATTTGGAACGAGATGATTAAGTTTCACGTGTTTGATCCCCTCATTTTGTCTGTCAGATGACGGCGTGTCTCAGTGTCGCCCCCCGCTGGTCTCTGCTGGTTCTCCTGTGGAGGTTTTCTACCAGAACCGAACCCGGAGGAACTCGGTGCTCAGCAGGTAAACGCACCTTTCTGTCTGTCCTCATGAGGACACTTTGAGCTCCACCTGACCTCCCGCCCCCTCTCTCCTCTTTCAGGACCAACCATCCAGAGACTCTTCAGACCCACAAGCCCCTCCCCCTGCCTCCCTCCCACCCACCCCCCCTCCCCCTCTATCCTCCCCCTCGCTCTCAGGACTCCTCCTCCTCCTCCGGCCCCTCTGATCCAGGAGCAGCAGGGGACGGGGGGGTCAGGGGTAACGGCGCTCGTCACAGTAACAGCTCGGACTGCCTCCTGGACCGCATCGCCACCCCGGAGGAGGAGGGGGGCCCGCAGCAGGGGGGATTGTGGGTAAACGGTCAGCCGGGGTCCAGAGGAACGAACGCCGCCGGGAAGTTCAGGAGCTCCGAGGCGCTGACGGATGGACGGGCGAGGTTGAGTAATGGATTCACCGAGGGGCGAGGAAGAGGAGGAGGAGGAGGAAGAGGAGGGGGGTACAGCGAGGTCCTGCTGGAGTACGTGTGGGGGAAACAGCAGCAGCTGCAGCAGCAGCAGTCCCAGACCAGCAACAGGCAGCCAATCACGTCACACCACCAGCTGCTCTACAACGGCTTCTCCTCCCAGCAGCCCCCGGGAGCCCCGCCCACGTACCGCGGCCAGGCGGGCGACCAGCGGCGAGTCAAAGTGACCCGCACAAAGTCCTGCGGCCCCTTCCTCCCGGTGCCGCAGGGCCAGACTGATTCCCAGATTCCCCCTCTGTCTGCCATCCAGCCAGACCCCCACCCCCACCTGCTGCCCCCCCGGCCACCACAGCTGCCCCCTGCCCAGGACGCTCAGCTGGAGGAGGCCAACAGGAGCCTCCACAAGGCCCTCGCCCTGGAAGGTAAGGTAGCTCACAGCTGAGACAGGAAGTTCACTTTACTGCAGTTTTGTACTTTACTAGGTGGACCTGCACCCAGACCTGGTCCCCCTCGGGCTCCAGACCTGTGTGCAGCACTCTCATATCCCCCGATGCTCCGTCAGTGCATCTTCAGCGGGTCTCTGGTCTGAATCTTTAATGATGTGGAGAAGAAACTGGGTCACTGCAGCAGAAACGGTCTGTTTCACTGCAGAGAGGCTGTGACGCCACCTGGTGGCAGCAGACGCAATGAGACTAACCTGCATAACAGTTTCTATAAAAACTAGTTTGTTTGTTGATACTGCAGAACAAAATAAATAAAGGACAGACCTCACAAACAGAATCTGGACCAGGAGCTTGGTCCGCTATAACAAAGAGAACTGGCTGCGGTGTTTCCCAGGTTGGGCGTGAAAGACTAAGAACAAGGCAAATGAGTTCAGGAAACTTTACAAGTCTGTTATCTGAGAACTGGATGGTCAGAGAGCCTGTGGAGGTGGAGAGGCAACAAAACAAGTCTGTGATTTACAGCGAGCAGTTTCCACCGGCAGCGGTAAGAAGAGGTAACATACCAGAGTCTGCCTTAGAACACGAGTCCGCCTTAGAACACATCACGTCCGCCTTAGAACACACCACGTCCGCCTTAGAACACATCACGTCCGCCTTAGAACACATCACGTCCGCCTTAGAACACACCACGTCCGCCTTAGAACACATCACGTCCGCCTTAGAACACATCACGTCCGCCTTAGAACACATCACGTCCGCCTTAGAACACACCACGTCCGCCTTAGAACACATCACGTCCGCCTTAGAACACACCACGTCCGCCTTAGAACACACCACGTCCGCCTTAGAACACATCACGTCCGCCTTAGAACACATCGAGTCCGCCTTAAAACACATCGAGTCCGCCTTAGAACACGAGTCGGCCTTAGAACACACCACGTCCGCCTTAGAACACATCACGTCCGCCTTAGAACACACCACGTCCGCCTTAGAACACGAGTCAGCCTTAGAACACATCACGTCCGCCTTAGAACACATCACGTCCGCCTTAGAACACACCACGTCCGCCTTAGAACACGAGTCAGCCTTAGAACACATCACGTCCGCCTTGAAAAACATCACGTCCGCCTTAAAACACATCGAGTCCGCCTTAAAACACATCGAGTCCGCCTTAGAACACGAGTCGGCCTTAGAACACACCACGTCCGCCTTAGAACACATCACGTCCGCCTTAGAACACACCACGTCCGCCTTAGAACACGAGTCAGCCTTGAAACACATCACGTCCGCCTTGAAACACATCACGTCCGCCTTAGAACACATCACGTCCGCCTTAGAACACACCACGTCCGCCTTAGAACACGAGTCAGCCTTAGAACACATCACGTCCGCCTTGAAACACATCACGTCCGCCTTGAAACACACCACGTCCGCCTTAGAACACACCACGTCCGCCTTAGAACACGAGTCAGCCTTAGAACACATCACGTCCGCCTTAGAACACATCACGTCCGCCTTAGAACACACCACGTCCGCCTTAGAACACGAGTCAGCCTTGAAACACATCACGTCCGCCTTGAAACACATCACGTCCGCCTTAGAACACACCACGTCCGCCTTAGAACAGGAGTCAGCCTTAGAACACATCACGTCCGCCTTGAAACACATCACGTCCGCCTTAGAACACATCACGTCCGCCTTAGAACACACCACGTCCGCCTTAGAACACATCATGTCCGCCTTAGAACACGAGTCGGCCTTAGAACACGAGTCGGCCTTAGAACACATCACGTCCGCCTTAGAACACATCACGTCCGCCTTAAAACACATCACGTTCGCCTTAGAACACGAGTCCGCCTTAGAACACATCACGTCCGCCTTAGAACACGAGTCGGCCTTAGAACACATCACGTCCGCCTTAGAACACATCACGTCCGCCTTAGAACACATCACGTCCGCCTTAGAACACATCACGTCCGCCTTAGAACACGAGTCGGCCTTAGAACACATCACGTCCGCCTTAGAACACATCACGTCCGCCTTAGAACACGAGTCGGCCTTAGAACACACCGAGTCGGCCTTAGAACACACCACGTCCGCCTTAGAACACATCACGTCGGCCTTAGAACACACCACGTCCGCCTTAGAACACACCACGTCCGCCTTAGAACACACCACGTCCGCCTTAGAACACGAGTCGGCCTTAGAACACATCATGTCCGCCTTAGAACACGAGTCAGCCTTAGAACACATCACGTCCGCTTTAGAACACATCACGTCAGCCTTAGAACACATCACGTCCGCCTTAGAACACATCACGTCCGCCTTAGAACACACCACGTCCGCCTTAGAACACGAGTCAGCCTTGAAACACATCACGTCCGCCTTGAAACACATCACGTCCGCCTTAGAACACACCACGTCCGCCTTAGAACACGAGTCAGCCTTAGAACACATCACGTCCGCCTTGAAACACATCACGTCCGCCTTAGAACACATCACGTTCGCCTTAGAACACGAGTCCGCCTTAGAACACATCACGTCCGCCTTAGAACACGAGTCGGCCTTAGAACACATCACGTCCGCCTTAGAACACATCACGTCCGCCTTAGAACACATCACGTCCGCCTTAGAACACGAGTCGGCCTTAGAACACATCACGTCCGCCTTAGAACACATCACGTCCGCCTTAGAACACAAGTCGGCCTTAGAACACACCGAGTCGGCCTTAGAACACACCACGTCCGCCTTAGAACACATCACGTCGGCCTTAGAACACATCACGTCCGCCTTAGAACACACCACGTCCGCCTTAGAACACACCACGTCCGCCTTAGAACACGAGTCGGCCTTAGAACACATCATGTCCGCCTTAGAACACGAGTCAGCCTTAGAACACATCACGTCCGCCTTAGAACACATCACGTCCGCCTTAGAACACATCACGTCCACCTTAGAACACGAGTCCGCCTTAGAACACACCACGTCCGCCTTAGAACACATCACGTCCGCTTAGAACACACCACGTCCGCCTTAGAACACATCACGTCCGCCTTAGAACACATCACGTCCGCCTTAGAACACGAGTCGGCCTTAGAACACATCATGTCCGCCTTAGAACACGAGTCCGCCTTAGAACACACCACGTCCGCCTTAGAACACATCACGTCCGCTTAGAACACACCACGTCCGCCTTAGAACACATCACGTCCGCCTTAGAACACATCACGTCCGCCTTAGAACACATCACGTCCGCCTTAGAACACATCACGTCCGCCTTAGAACACGAGTCGGCCTTAGAACACATCATGTCCGCCTTAGAACACGAGTCGGCCTTAGAACACGAGTCGGCCTTAGAACACACCACGTCCGCCTTAGAACACACCACGTCCGCCTTAGAACACATCACGTCCGCCTTAGAACACGAGTCAGCCATAGAACACATCACGTCCGCCTTGAAACACATCACGTCCGCCTTAGAACACGAGTCCGCCTTAGAACACACCGAGTCGGCCTTAGAACACACCGAGTCGGCCTTAGAACACATCGAGTCGGCCTTAGAACACATCGAGTCGGCCTTAGAACACACCGAGTCGGCCTTAGAACACATCACGTCCGCCTTAGAACACATCATGTCCGCCTTAAAAGTCAAGTTTACCTTAAAACACCACAAGTCCGCCTTAAAAACCAGGGTCTTCTGTAATGTCATTAAGTCTTCGATGTGTGTGATTGACAGGTCTGAGGGACTGGTACCTGAGGAACACGATAGGCTCCACCCATCAAACCCAGGCCAACGGAAAGGTGAACGCAGGGGTCAACGCCAAGGTCAAAGGTCAGGCCGGAGGGGGAGGAGCTCCGCAGGGCAGACGGAGGACTCACGGCGGCATCCAGCAGTCGTCCTATCAGACGGAGACGGGACATCATCACGCGCCGCCGCATCACAAACAGAAGCTGCCGCATTCGGCCACGTTCCACGGACATCCGCTGCACGGCAGGTAGGACTCAGGTCACCTGGACAGGTACAGAACACCTGAGCTCCTGAAGACCAGCTCACGCTCTCTCTCTCTCTCTCAGGTCTGTGGACAGCTCTCTCTACCACGACTCCTTCCCTCCTCAGAAACAGGAAGTTCCTCTCAGAGACCTGACCGTGGATCAGCCGTCTCCCGGAACTCTGGTCTGACCAATCAGGACGCTGAGGGACGGATACACAGGCCAATCCCGGGCTGGCTCCCCAGGATCCGCAGACTTTGTGGTTCTCCTGAAGAACCAGGAGAACCTCCTGCAGCTCAGCGTGAACGCCGTTCAGGTTACACCAGCAGCTTCTCTGAGGCTCCGCCCACACGACTACGTTCTCGTTTTAAAACTCAGACCTTCTGCAGCTGCGGAGCAGACAACCTTCTTCCTGTTTACGCCGGCTCGCACACGCTCCGTGTACGTGAACGCTCACGTGATGTGCGTATTGAGTCGTTTAGTACAGACGGAGATCAGCTCTGATGCGGAGCTGAAACGCTGGTGTGGACGCAGATCGTAGTCGTGTGGACGTAGCCCCAGTTCACCTGAAACCCCGCCCACCCTGACGTCACACATGATGTCAGGGTGGCGTCTCTGACATCACACGTCAAACTGCAGGATTTGTTTTTAAATTTTTCTACGACGGCGTCTTCAATCTGTTATCAGACTCTGCTCAGACAATCAAACGCAGTTTTTATACGATGATGATGAAACTGTTGCACCAGCTGACGTCACCGCCGCCGTTTGTCTGGTCAGATCAGCTCTTGCTAAAGGTTAAACTGATCAGATCAGGTGACCTGTTTGATCCCTCAGGTGAGTCCAGGCAGAAACCAGCAGGTGAGATTCTTCAGGTATTCTTACAGTTTGGACTCGACGCCTCTGCACTAAACGTTAAAGCGCCGCTGCAGGTCGGTCCTGCTCACTTCTTTCCTCGTCACATAACCAGAAGTTCCTCGTTCCTTTCACCCGGTGAAGAACCAGGAACACCAGAACGTTCCTCTCTCTGACTCTGAGCAGCAACAGAAAGTTTATACGCACAAAGCTGTTCTCTTGGTGTTCCTGTCTGTGTCTCTGCACAGGTGCGACGACTCGTGAGGTCGGTTCTGTTTTCATGTTTGTTTATTTTTAATTAAATTGGTGATACAGAATGTGTAACATGAGTCACACCGAGAACATTTAGCCTGACAGGTGCTTCACTGCTGGCCTGTTACTTACTTCAGGAACCATAATTTCATACCGAAAAAATTGAAAGCAAACACAAATTAAGGGAGAACATGAGAAACATGACACCATGAGAACAGGACATCATGAGAAACATAACACTAGGAGAACATGAGAAACATGACACCATGAGAACAGGACATCATGAGAAACATAACACTAGGAGAACATGAGAAACATGACACTATGACAACAGGACACCATGAGAACATGAAAAACATAACACTAGGAGAACATGAGAAACATGACACCATGACAACAGGACACCATGAGAACAGGACATCATGAGAACATGAAAAACACAACACTAGGAGAACATGAGAAACACAACACTAGGAGAACATGAGAAACACGACACTAGGAGAACATGAGAAACGGGACACTAGGAGAACATGAGAACAGGACAACATGAGAAACATAACACTAGGAGAACATGAGAAAAGGACACCATGAGAAACATGAGGACAGGACACCATGAGAACATGAGAAACATAACACTAGGAGAACATGAGAACAGGACACCATGAGAACATGAGAAACATGAGGACAGGACACCATGAGAACATGAGAAACATGAGGACAGGACACCATGAGAACATGAGAAACAGAACACTAGGAGAACATGAGAAAAGGACACCATGAGAAACATAACACTAGGAGAACATGAGAACAGGACACCATGAGAACATGAGAAACATGAGGACAGGACACCATGAGAACATGAGAAACATGAGGACAGGACACCATGAGAACATGAGAAACATAACACTAGGAGAACATGAGAAGCATAACACTAGGAGAACATGAGAACAGGACACCATGAGAACATGAGAAACAGAACACTAGGAGAACATGAGAAACAGAACACTAGGAGAACATGAGAACAGGACACCTGGAGAACATGAGAAACAGAACACTAGGAGAACATGAGAAAAGGACACCATGAGAAACATAACACTAGGAGAACATGAGAACAGGACACCATGAGAACATGAGAAACATGAGGACAGGACACCATGAGAACATGAGAAACATGAGGACAGGACACCATGAGAACATGAGAAACATAACACTAGGAGAACATGAGAAGCATAACACTAGGAGAACATGAGAACAGGACACCATGAGAACATGAGAAACAGAACACTAGGAGAACATGAGAACAGGACACCTGGAGAACATGAGAAACAGAACACTAGGAGAACATGAGAAACATATCACTAGGAGAACATGTGAACAGGACACCTGGAGAACATGTGAACAGGACACTAGGAGAACATGTGAACAGGACACCTGGAGAACATGAGAAACAGAACACTAGGAGAACATGAGAAACAGAACACTAGGAGAACATGAGAACAGGACACCTGGAGAACATGAGAAACAGAACACTAGGAGAACATGAGAAACAGAACACTAGGAGAACATGAGAACAGGACACCTGGAGAACATGAGAAACAGAACACTAGGAGAACATGAGAACAGGACACTAGGAGAACATTAGAACAGGACACCTGGAGAACACGAGAAACAGGACACCATGAAAACAGGAGAAGGAACTTCCTGTCAGTCGGTCTGACGAGGACTTCAGTCTCTGCAGGACTTGGAGTCAGAATCCAGATCCAGTCTGAGAGCAATAAGAGGATCGAAGCTTTTCAACTTTTCAGGATGAAAATAATTTGCAGCGACAATCAGACGATGACGTCACAGTGTTGACTGATTTATAAATATGTTTATTGATCGACTGAATGGAGCCTGTTTTTGTACCGAGCTTCACACTTTTATAAAAATGTTGGACTCGACATGAACGAAATGCAACTTTTTAACATGTGAAATCAGTGTTTTATGGAGGTCTGATGATTCTTATCAGTATGTTTATTACTGTTCAATAAGTTGTCTGTCTGTCGACACCCAGAGCAACACATTCTCTCTCCCGACTCCTCACATATGGACGCTTGGTCAAGACCCCTTGGCGTCACTTTTTAACATCCTGGGTACCCTTTAGCGTCGTCTAACATAGAAACATAACACTAGGAGAACATGAGAACAGGACACTAGGAGAATATGAAAAACAGGACACCATGAGAAACAGGACAACTTAAGAACATGAGAAACAACATTAGGAGAACATGAGAAACAGGACAACTTGAGAACATGAGAAACAAAATTAGGAGAACATGAGAACAGGACACCATGAGAACATGAGAAACAACATTAGGAGAACATGAGAAACAGGACACCATGAGAACATGAGAAACAGGACACCATGGGAACATGAGAAACAGGACACCATGAGAACATGAGAAACATAACATTAGGAGAACATGAGAAACAGGACACCATGAGAACATGAGAAACATAACATTAGGAGAACATGAGAACAGGACACCATGAGAACATGAGAAACAACATTAGGAGAACATGAGAAACAGGACACCATGAGAACATGAGAAACAACATTAGGAGAACATGAGAACAGGACACCATGAGAACATGAGAAACAACATTAGGAGAACATGAGAAACAGGACACCATGAGAACATGAGAAACAACATTAGGAGAACATGAGAACAGGACACCATGAGAACATGAGAAACAACATTAGGAGAACATGAGAAACAGGACACCATGAGAACATGAGAAACAACATTAGGAGAACATGAGAACAGGACACCATGAGAACATGAGAAACAACATTAGGAGAACATGAGAAACAGGACACCATGAGAACATGAGAAACAACATTAGGAGAACATGAGAACAGGACACCATGAGAACATGAGAAACAACATTAGGAGAACATGAGAAACAGGACACCATGAGAACATGAGAAACAACATTAGGAGAACATGAGAAACAGGACACCATGAGAACATGAGAAACAACATTAGGAGAACATGTGAACAGGACACCATGAGAACATGAGAAACAACATTAGGAGAACATGAGAAACAGGACACCATGAGAACATGAGAAACAGGACACCATGGGAACATGAGAAACATAACATTAGGAGAACATGAGAAACAGGACACCATGAGAACATGAGAAACATAACATTAGGAGAACATGAGAACAGGACACCATGAGAACATGAGAAACATAACATTAGGAGAACATGAGAAACAGGACACCATGAGAACATCATAGTTTGGCTTAAAATAACAATGTTACGTGACTTAAGTTACGTTACATGCGTAATTTATGCCACTTACATAACCTATTTAAGGAATAAAAACACTCAGTGTTGACTGTCATATATCCTACATCTACCTTTACTGTTCATAAATGAACCTGCATATCTTCCCCAGTGCGTTACAAACTCGTGCCAACGGGTCTTCACCATGTGTCCATATGTGACGACTTGGGAGTGAGAATGTGTTTCCCAGAGGCCTCGGCTCTTTTACAGTCTGATCTGAGCTCAGAAACCAGTCTGAACCTCCTGCTTGCTCCAACATGACGTCGCGCAGTTTTAATGACGTCTGAAAGATAAAGTCACAAATGAACTTCACCAGCAGACAAGGTCACAGTGACTGACTTCATCAACGTAGATTTACACGAGCGGCAGCGAGCGACATGATGGATCCACATCTCTTTAGCCGTGGTAGTGACGTCTGTCTGTCCGCCACTTTGTTCAGACTGAAATATCTATTGGAGGATTTTTTGTTTGGTTTCTGTAGTAAAACTGATTAAAAGCACAAACTCTGCTGTCATGTGACCATGGATGTATAAAGATAGCTGCTTACAGCGTTGGAGGCGGGGCCACGTCCATTCCTATGAAAGCTGCTGAGCGGCTCCGGGGTTTAAATGGGGATAAAATGATTTAATGGTGCAGCTCTTCTAGACTTTCCAGATGTTATCAGGCCGAATGGATCAGTTTCTGATAGTGAACTGAGTCATTTCATTGGGTTTGTGACTCAAAAACCTTTCACAGTCTCTTGTTTCACAATGTCTGTCTGTGGGAAAAGTCTTTTTGGGCCACAGTGCATCACGTGACGGGAAGTTGCAAGTCCACGCTTTGGCCACTATGGCGGCACAGGCCAAAAAAAAAGTTCCGCTTTACTTTCAGGTACGCGGCCAACTGAAAATGCACAGTAGGGTTTCGAGTTCCCACGTTGTGATGACGTAGCTGATTTAAAAATTGCTTTTCTCAGCTCGAGGAAAGTTTTACAAATATAAAACCTCCGCGGTTCAACCGTTCCTAATAGAAATAGTCACATTTTACCTTGTTTGTGTGTTTTATAAAGGTGGCTTACGTGGAAAATGCCTTCTGGGCTGCTGCAGTACTGTGAGTGGCCACTGGAAAAAACTGGAAGTAAGGCCGAGAGATGACGTCTTATTATACATCCATGCCTCACAGCCGTTATTTATATCCCCCACCTGTTTTGCATCCCGCCCTACTGCGCTGTGATTGGCTAGCTCATTACTTTGACGCATTCTTCTGATTGAACATCAGTTTTTCTCTCGAATTTTCGGCAAGTCCCGCTACCAAACAGTGACGCCACTGATGCTGACGATAATGTAATAATAATACAAATTAAAGTACATGTTTATTTTAGGAAATCATGTATTCATAACCAAAACTGTGTTGAATGAACACGTTACACGCAGAAAGCTTAGAGAACCGTATGAGATAACAAAACACACTAAAATAATTTCAAATGAAAGCATTTTAGTTAACATAATTGTCGGGGAGATCTAGGGAGAAGGCTGCGCTCGTTATCTTAACGTGTGTCAATTAACTAATCAGATCGTTCCTATTTCATAATGAAGAACAACTACAAAAGTTATTCAGTAAGTTGCAGCTAATGTTCACTCACAAGGACGCGTTGAAGGAACTGAGCGGGACGCAAAACAGGTGGGAAAAATAACGCACTTCAGAGGAGCAGAAAGACTCCCAGCATGCACTTCTTCTAACTGGTCAAAACTCTGAATACACAGTGTCTGGGTACAGTACTGTGGAGTACTGTGAATATTCAGGGCTGTAGCTACGATTATACAAATGCACACAAGTCACAGGTCCAAATTCCTCCAGCGGAACTCCACCAGCCAAACTCTGTACAAATTTGTGAGAATTTAAAAAAGCATATTTATTCACGTACCTGTTCAGTTGTATTTCATGTAAGTTTTTGTCACACTGTGTTGGAGTGTGGTCCCAGGTATTTTGGTCTGGTTAGAAATATTCTTTTTATTTAAATGTAATAAAAAAACAAACTCCTTGATTCATCACGTGTTTAATCAGAGAATATAAACTCGTCCTCCAGCCATTATTAACATACAGAGGACACGACCTCCTCAGTGATATAACCCTGACAGTATTTGGTCAGAGTACAGTGCTGTACTTGTGCAGTAGTACTAGTACCGTGCAGTACTCTGTTGTACCAGTATTTGTTCAGTCCCCCTTCAGGTCCAGGATCAGCTGTTGTCCAGCTGTCTAAACAGTCTGTGGGAGTGACATCACAGCTGTTTCTGTCGTGATGCGTTCAGGTGCACTCTGTATAGTCGGTGTTTCTTGTACAGTCTGAACTTTGTGTAAAAATCATTTTCTATCTTTTTGGACTATTTTGTCATTTGTACTTTTTTCACTCTGAACTCTTTCTGCTGTTTGACGTTGGAAACTTAAAAGGCTTCATGTAAATACAAATAAAATGACACACTGTAAACATGCTGTTTTTAAATAAAGATTTCTCTTCACTGATTCCATGTTAATAGATCAATATCAGATCACACTTTACTGATCTCAGCTCCAGCTGATATGATGTCTGAACTATATACAATACTGTCAATTTTATTTTTCTATTTTTTCATTTAAATACAGCAGGATTATATATATATATACACACATATACACTCACCTAAAGGATTATTAGGAACACCTGTTCAGTTTCTCATTAATGCAATTATCTAATCAACCAATCACATGGCAGTTGCTTCAATGCATTTAGGGGTGCGGTCCTGGTCAAGACAATCTCCTGAACTCCAAACTGAATGTCAGAATGGGAAAGAAAGGTGATTTAAGCAATTTTGAGCGTGGCACGGTTGTTGGTGCCAGACGGGCCGGTCTGAGTATTTCACAATCTGCTCAGTTACTGGGATTTTCACGCACAACCATTTCTAGTGTTTACAAAGAATGGTGTGAAAAGGGAAAAACATCCAGTATGCGGCAGTCCTGTGGGCGAAAATGCCTTGTTGATGCTAGAGGTCAGAGGAGAATGGGCCGACCGATTCAAGCTGATAGAAGAGCAACTTTGACTGAAATAACCACTCGTTACAACCGAGGTATGCAGCAAAGCATTTGTGAAACCACAACACGCACAACCTTGAGGCGGATGGGCTACAACAGCAGAAGACCCCACCGGGTACCACTCATCTCCACTACAAATAGGAAAAAGAGGCTACAATTTGCAAGAGCTCACCAAAATTGGACAGTTGAAGACTGGAAAAATGTTGCCTGGTCTGATGAGTCTCGATTTCTGTTGAGACATTCAGATGGTAGTCAGAATTTGGCCTAAACAGAATGAGAACATGGATCCATCATGCCTTGTTACCACTGTGCAGGCTGGTGGTGGTGGTGTAATGGTGTGGGGGATGTTTTCTTGGCACACTTTAGGCCCCTTAGTGCCAATTGGGCATGGTTTAAATGCCACGGCCTACCTGAGCATTGTTTCTGACCATGTCCATCCCTTTATGGCCACCATGTACCCATCCTCTGATGGCTACTTCCAGCAGGATAACGCACCATGTCACAAAGCTCCAATCATTTCAAATTGGTTTCTTGAACATGACAATGAGTTCACTGTACTAAAATGGCCCCCACAGTCACCAGATCTCAACCCAATAGAGCATCTTTGGGATGTGGTGGAACGGGAGCTTCGTGCCCTGGATGTGCATCCCACAAATCTCCATCAACTGCAAGATGCTATCCATCAATATGGGCCAACATTTCTAAAGAATGCTTTCAGCACCTTGTTGAATCAATGCCACGTAGAATTAAGGCAGTTCTGAAGGCGAAAGGGGGTCAAACACAGTATTAGTATGGTGTTCCTAATAATCCTTTAGGTGAGTGTATATATATATACACAGGTGCTGGTTATATAATTAGAATATCATCAAAAAGTTGATTTATTTCAGTAATTCCATTCAAAAAGTGAAACTTGTATAATATATACATTCATTCCACACAGACTGATATATTTCAAGTGTTCATTCCTTTTAATTTTGATGATTATAACTGACAACTAATGAAAACCCCAAAATCAGTATTTCAGAAAATTAGAATATTGTGAAAAGGTTCAATATTGAAGACACCTGGTGCCACACTCTAATCAGCTAATTAACTCAAAACACCTGCAAAGGCCTTTAAATGGTCTCTCAGTCTAGTTCAGTAGGCTACACAATCATGGGGAAGACTGCCGACTTGACAGCTGTCCAAAAGACGACCATTGACACCTTACACAAGGAGGGCAAGACACAAAAGGTCATTGCTAAAGAGGCTGGCTGTTCACAGAGCTCCAAGCACATTAATAGAGAGGTGAAGGGAAGGAAAAGATGTGGTAGAAAAAAGTGTACAAGCAATAGGGATAACCGCACCCTGGAGAGGATTGTGAGACAAAACCCATTCAAAAATGTTGGGGAGATTCACAAAGAGTGGACTGCAGCTGGAGTCAGTGCTTCAAGAACCACCACGCACAGACGTATGCAAGACATGGGTTTCAGCTGTCGCATTACACAAGACACAGCGTCAGAAGACAAAAAGGACTGGACTGCTGCTGAGTGGTCCAAAGTTATGATCTCTGATGAAAGTACATTTTGCATTTCCTTTGGAAATCAAGGTCCCAGAGTCTGGAGGAAGAGAGGAGAGGCACAGAATCCACGTTGCTTGAAGTCCAATGTAAAGTTTCCACAGTCAGTGATGGTTTGGGTGCCATGTCATCTGCTGGTGTTGGTCCACTGTGTTTTCTGAGGTCCAAGGTCAACGCAGCCGTCTACCAGGAAGTTTTGGAGCACTTCATGCTTCCTGCTGCTGACCAACTTTATGGAGATGCAGATTTCATTTTCCAACAGGACTTGGCACCTGCACACAGTGCCAAAGCTACCAGTACCTGGTTTAAGGACCATGGTATCCCTGTTCTTAATTGGCCAGCAAACTGGCCTGACCTTAACCCTATAGAAAATCTATGGGGTATTGTGAAGAGGAAGACAACAATGCAGAAGAGCTGAAGGCCACTATCAGAGCAACCTGGGCTCTCATAACACCTGAGCAGTGCCACAGACTGATGGACTCCATGCCACGCCGCATTGCTGCAGTAATTCAGGCAAAAGGAGCCCCAACTAAGTATTGAGTGCTGTACATGTTCATACTTTTCATGTTCATACTTTTCAGTTGGCCAACATTTCTAAAAATCCTTTTTTTGTATTGGTCTTAAGTAATATTCTAATTATCTGAGGAACTGAATTTGGGATTTTCATTAGTTGTCAGTTTTAATCATCACAATTAAATGAAATAAACATTTGAAATATATCAGTCTGTGTGTAATGAATGAATATATATAATATCCAAGTTTCATTTTTTGAATGAAATTACTGAAATAAATCAACTTTTTGATGATATTCTAATTATATGACCAGCACCTGTATATATATCATAATCATCGTAATAATATCAGTGACACAACCTCAACAGCTGGTTACAAACAGCTGGTTAGAAACAGACAAACAGCTGGTTAGAAACAGACAAACAGCTGGTTATAAACAGACAAACAGCTGGTTCGAAACAGACAAACAGCTGGTTAGAAACAGCTGGTTAGAAACAGACAAACAGCTGGTTACAAACAGCTGGTTAGAAACAGACAAACAGCTGGTTAGAAACAGCTGGTTAGAAACAGACAAACAGCTGGTTAGAAACAGCTGGTCACAAACAGCTGGTTAGAAACAGCTGGTCACAAACAGCTGGTTAGAAACAGCTGGTCACAAACAGCTGGTTAGAAACAGCTGGTTAGAAACAGACAAACAGCTGGTCACAAACAGCTGGTTAGAAACAGACAAACAGCTGGTCACAAACAGCTGGTTAGAAACAGCTGGTTAGAAACAGCTGGTTATATATAGCTGGTCACAAACAGCTGGTTACAAACAGCTGGTTACAAACAGCTGGTTAGAAACAGCTGGTCACAAACAGCTGGTTAGAAACAGCTGGTTAGAAACAGACAAACAGCTGGTCACAAACAGCTGGTTAGAAACAGCTGGTTAGAAACAGCTGGTCACAAACAGCTGGTTAGAAACAGCTGGTTACAAACAGCTGGTTACAAACAGCTGGTTAGAAACAGCTGGTCACAAACAGCTGGTTAGAAACAGCTGGTTAGAAACAGACAAACAGCTGGTCACAAACAGCTGGTTAGAAACAGCTGGTTAGAAACAGACAAACAGCTGGTCACAAACAGCTGGTTAAAAACAGCTGGTTAGAAACAGACAAACAGCTGGTCACAAACAGCTGGTTAGAAACAGCTGGTTATAAATAGCTGGTTAGAAACAGACAAACAGCTGGTTAGAAACAGACAAACAGCTGGTTACAAACAGCTGGTTATAAACAGACAAACAGCTGGTTATAAACAGACAAACAGCTGGTTATAAACAGCTGGTTATAAACAGCTGGTCACAAACAGCTGGTTAGAAACAGCTGGTCACAAACAGCTGGTCACAAACAGCTGGTTAGAAACAGCTGGTCACAAACAGCTGGTTAGAAACAGCTGGTCACAAACAGACAAACAGCTGGTCACAAACAGCTGGTTAGAAACAGCTGGTTATAAATAGCTGGTCACAAACAGCTGGTTAGAAACAGCTGGTTAGAAACAGCTGGTTATAAATAGCTGGTCACAAACAGCTGGTTAGAAACAGCTGGTTATAAATAGCTGGTCACAAACAGCTGGTTAGAAACAGCTGGTTAGAAACAGCTGGTTATAAATAGCTGGTCACAAACAGCTGTTTAGAAACAGCTGGTTATAAATAGCTGGTCACAAACAGCTGGTTAGAAACAGCTGGTTAGAAAATGCTAACTCTCAGTTAGCTCCTGGTGCTCTTTAGGAGAAGGACATGTCTCTCTGTAGGAAGGTTGCGTGTGTGAATAAAAGCCACAGAAGAAGAAGAACAGGAAAAGGAAGCAGTAGAAGAGCAGCAGGAGGAGGAAGGTAGGTCTGTGTGTAGGAAAGGAGGGAAGTGTCCTCTCAGTATTGGGACGCGGCCCGTCCTCTCAGGTAAACAGATGCTGAACTTTCTTCTGCAGTCCGGCGACATTAACCACCGCAACAACCCGGGATAAGTAAAGAAATAAACTCCATGCGTGTTGAGAGGGAAGGTAAAGAGCTGTTAAATGTGTGCTGCGGGCTGATCTGGGGTCAGACGGAGCAGATTAAACTTTGAGCTCTTTCATGTTCAGATCAGAGCAACAACAAAGTTCCTGGTAGCGGTTAGCTTCAGTTAGCACGGCGCTGTTAGCTGCCCGGTTTTAAAACCCAGGTAAAACTTTTGGTTCGGTTTGGTGCCAGCTGAGCGGGGACGGTAACGGAACCTGAAGGCGACGGTTATTCAAAGAATCCGTTTTAATGCGAAACACCGTGAATTACTGTAAGTTAGCTGTGTAACTTACTGTTAGCTCGCGGCTACACTCGGGATTTACAGTTAGAAGCTAACTAACCCGAGCTAACCAACCCGAGCTAACTAACCCGAGCTAACCAACCCGAGCCTGCTTTTATTCACTTTCACCGGGTCGTGTCGGTGTGAACCGGCTGTGTGCGCGGGCTCAACAGGTTTTATTAAAGTGCTTTAACGGTCGGTGAGGTCACCTTCAGGTACACGAGTATTATCAGCAAGTAATCAAAAGTATTAGTTGTCAGTATGTGTCCAGTCAGTCATGCAGATACACTCATATGTAAACATAAACTGAATGCTTTATACTTTTCGTCTTATGACACAGCATCTTATTTCATAATCTGATCACGTGTTATTGATCTGAAAAGCCACAAGTACAGTACAAGTACATCAAATGTGTATTTAAGTGCAGTAACGTGGGTAAATGAGCAGACTAGTGATGGAAGGTGAAATATCTGAAAGTGTGTTTGTATTTGAATGATTCTACTTTTATTGTGTTTTATTCTTTTTACTTAATTTCCCCTTCGGCTGATCGATAACGGAACATTTTAACTTATTCAGTTCAATTCTTAAACGCTTTATTTGTCCCCGAGGGGCGATTTAGTTTCGCAGCAGTACAAATAACACATTAGACAAACACGACAACAATGCAATTAAAAAAAAAAAACAGCTTCAGAGTATATAAAAACTAGTGTTGTAGTCAAGACCGCCTAAACCGAGACCAGTAGATGTTTGTTGTTGTATATTTTTATCTTGTCAGTTATATATTTATATGTTCACAATATTCTCTTCCGTTGCGTTACTTCTGCACAGACCCAGAATAATGCACATGTATATATCTGCAACGTTGTTCTTCTATTCCATATTTCTATATTTCTACATTTATTTATGTCGACTGTACATGTCGACATCACAACAGCAAATTCCTCGTATGTGTAAAACACTACTTGGCAATAAAGCTGCTTCTGATTCTGATTCTGAAGCCAAGACCAAGACCAGTTCCCCACATTACGTGACAAACGGTAAAATGTGAAACGAGGTCACAGGTCCTTCTCAGGTTGATCTGTAAGAGCCACATTCCCATTAAAACCACACAAACACTAAGAGCTAAAATGAACATTAGAGTCTTTATTCAACGCTGCTTCTCCGCGCTGACCATCGCGGGGACGGTCGTTAACGGGAACAACGCGTGTTTAATTAGGGTTATTGGTTGCTTTCAAAGCAACACGTTTTCCATCAAAGTTATTAGGATGTTAACAAATAAATCAGACGATGCAAAAGCAATTTATTCCCAAAGTTACCTGGATCAGGTGTTTCCATGATCCCGTAAATAACAAACCCACGCTCAGGAACTACTGGTTGTTTGCAGAACATTTTCTCGAATAACCGATAAATAAAAGAGTTTCTTAAAGGCGCTGATGAGGTTCGATGGCCGCTGGAATCTGTTTTCGGTGCATCACATGCATACAGCAAGCGGACACCAGTAAACAAAGCGTAACAGTGCAAAAACACGTCGGGTGAATGGGCAGTAGCGTGTGAGGCGGCGACCAAAGGGACGAGTTCAAAGCCCTGATGGCTGTGGGAACGTTTGGCCTCGGTACGCTACCACACTGGAATGAGAGCGGAGTAGAAAAGAACAAGGAGTTGATGTTTGATCCGGTGTTTCTGAAGCTGCCCGAGGAAGTGAAGTGTTTGTTGAGCTTTTGCAACGCCGTGTTCAGTGTGACTTGTCCACTTCAGGTTACTGCTAATGTGTCCGTGGCGGTGACTGGATTGCCGTTTATTTGCAAGGGTGTTTTGGGAGTCGTCTGAAGTCAAAAATGAGTTCCTGGGTTTTGGTTGTGTTGAGCTGGAGGTGACAGCTTGGTCCACCTACTGGGTTGCATGATGAGGCCTATAAGGGTTGTGTCGTCTGAATACTTTATGATTCTCACCTCGAGTGTCCGTGGACTTAACCACATGGTACCTGCCACCTATTTCCAGGAAAAACGCCTAAAATAACAAACCCAAAATAAATCAGTAACATCTCCTCAACCATTTGGCCTGGATGCATCATTCTGGTCTCTGAAAGGTCAGAAGCTGAGGAATATAAATCCATTGTGCATTAACATATTATTTTACCATTACAGACTACATGGAGATGCAATACAGAAAAAAATAAATTTAAAAGCTATATTTTAATGCAATAAACCATCAAAACCATCATCAGGTAGATTATAATGCACCTGAATATCTTCTAATACACCTGGAATCCAACTGTAACTGTAAATCTGATGAAAATAAACTGATTTACAACAGTTAGTACACAAGTTTTCAAAAATATACCAGGCAAATGTTTTGGCCACATTTACTGTTTAAATGTTCACTTTTATTGGGAGTTTTCTTCAAAACATTATTTCTGTCCACACGTTCCAAATAACAAAAAGCTTCCAAAACATTGAAATATTGATTAAAAACAGTCAGTGTTCCTCTGAGATAAAGAACTCCCCCATGCAAGTCTTCGTACTGAAGAGACGAATCGATTGATATCCTGCATGGTCGCCAGCAGAGGCCGATAAAGGCGCCTCCGCCGAAGCAAACTCTTCTTCTCTACTTCAATCTGGTTCTGCCAAACATGAAGTTTTGGAACTGGAACCAGGAAATAACAATGACGGGATCATCAGAATAGTTGCAGATTATTTTTTGCACCTGTGCAAAGATTTAATACAATATAAAAATTAAAGTCATCAATGGATGAATGGAATAATAAGTAGATTATTGTTGTTCCTCGGAGAAACACAGTAGGTCTTACAGATTGTTTACCTGAGCAGGTGTGATCGCACTCTGAGGTCAACATGCGCTTCCTGTGACGACGAGGCCGCAGGCCGCGGCGGACCGCTCCGGGACTACAGTTTGGACCCCGCTGTTACCGTCCTCCGATTGGTCGCCCGCCACCTGCCCTGTCAGCATGCAGCTGTCCTATCAGAAGCTGCCGGCCCAGCTGAGGCGGAGCTCCAGACTCCGGAAGCTGGCGGCCGCGCTGCTCGCCGCCTACGCCGTTAAAAGACTGTCGCCGTACATCTGGAGGAGGATACAGGTGAGACGCATACCTGCGCTCCTGATTAGGGACCGACCCGTGTGGGTGTTTCCGGGCCGATCCAGATTATTAGTAACCAGTTAGACCGATTTTTAATCTCCAGCACAAAACTTTGTTGAAAATAACTACATTAAAGTTAAGTCATGTTTAATCTTGATAAATAGTAAATTAAATCAGAGGTCTGTCCCTGAGATGGACTTAATAAACTTCTACTGTATTTATTTTATACTGATTTTATTGGTTCTATTCTCTTTTTGCTTTGTCATTACTAAATAACTGCCTTTTAAAGACGTCATTTAAAAACAGCAATCTAATATTTTATTCTAACTGTACAGCAGCAAAGTCACTTAAAATCACTTTCACACTGGAAACAAGTCAACTACATATTCCTGACATCAAAATACTGAGCTGTCAGTTTCAGTCCTCCTCTTCCTCCTCTTCCTCCTCCTCATCCACCTCTTCCTCTTCCTCCTCCTCCTCCTCTTCATCATCCTCCTCTTCCTCCTCCTCCTCCTCTTCATCATCCTCTTCTTCCTCCTCCTCCTCCTCTTCATCATCTTCCTCTTCTTCTTCCTCTTCCTCTTCTTCCTCCTCTTCATCATCCTCTTCTTCCTCCTCTTCCACCTCCTCTTCCTCCTCTTCCTCTTCCTCTTCCTCCTCCTCCTCTTCCTCCTCTTGTTGCTTGAATTTATTACAAAGAAATTAAAACAATTTAAATGAAAAGCAGCGTATCTTCACGTTTGAACCATGTTTGGTGTGTAAATGTTTGTTTCCAGTCAGCTGTGCAACTGTCTCTGTAACTCTGTAAAGGAACTGAAGCTGTCAGATAAATGTAGTGAAATAAAAAGTACAACATCTCCCTCTGTGGAGGAGCAGGAGGAGGAAGAGGCGTAAAATACAGCCGATATTTGCTCTGAACTGTTCTGCTGTTTATATTCTGTCCACAGCGTCACATCAGTCACATTCCTGTTGTCCTGTTTTATCTAATCTGGATCTTCTCATCTCTTGTTTCTGGAGCTGGAACAAGTGAATTTCACTTCTTATCTTATCTTAGTTTATTTGAGCTTATCTTGACTCTGGGTGTGTTTGTTTTGTTTTTTTTCCCAGAGGAGTGCAGCAGGTAAACAGCTGGGTGGAGATAATCTACCTGTGGGCGTGGTCAGCACCTCCTCCTCCAGCTCTGAGGACGGCAGTGGAGGGAAGAAGAAGAAGAGAGACAGCAGGTGTGCGAGAGAGATCAAACTTTCCTACATGATTTCTCACATTTTTTGCATTTCATGTTTAAATATGTAAATTAGTCAGTATCTAATGAAATATGCGCTAATTTGCATCTATTTCAAGAACCGAAATCTGATCTCTGGATTAAGTCAGGTTTAAAATCATTGTTTTATCTTGTTGACACATCGGATATCTCTTTTTATTACTGTCTTCAGGTCTCCGTCAGTGAACCGAGACTTTGTCCTCAGACTCTGTCGTCTGTTGAAGCTGTTGTTTCCACGGTTACTGTGTCCAGAGATCGGCCTGCTGGCTCTGCACTCGCTGACTCTGATGTCCAGAACCTTCCTGTCCATCTACGTCGCTGCTCTGGACGGTCGGTTACTCTCTGTCTGTTTGTTCTAGATGTTCTAGATGTTCTAGATGTCTGAGAATGTGACTAACAGTGTTGGTCTCCAGGGTTGATCGTGAAGTGCATCGTTCAGAAGGATCCTCAGGCCTTCGTGCTGCAGCTCTCTAAGTGGCTCCTCGTCGCAGTTCCTGCAACTTTCATCAACAGCGCCATCAGATTCCTGGAGGGTCAGCTGACCCTCAGGTTCAGGAGCCGATTGGTTGACCACGCCTACCAGCTGTACTTCACCAACCAGGTAGCACGCCCGCTGTGGTCGGACCGCCGGGCCCGAGCGCGAACCGTGCGAGGTCCCTATTGAAACTGAAGGGCTTATGTATTTATTTTTCTTTCTTTTTTCTGCAAAGTAACCTCAGTTTTGGGGCCTAAACACGCTCGAAAACTCACCAAACTTTGCACAAAATTCAGACGCAGCGAAAGATTTCATGTTTTACGGGTTTTGCTCCTGGGCGTGGCAAAATGGCAAAAGTTTCACCTACATGTACGAAATTCCTGTGGTACGTGTATCATGTCCACACGTACAAAAAAGCCTCTTGGAGCCGTCGCCTAAACCCAACAGGAAGTCTGCCATTTTGGATTTAATGGTCATTTTTGGCAATTTATACACTTTGTACTTTAACAAACTCCTCGCAGGGATTTAGTCCAATCGACTTCAAATTTGTGCTGTACAGTCTAAACCCATTGATGATTAAAAGTTGTACAAACGGTTATTACCAGTCGACCAGTTTGCCCGTGGCGTGCTATCAAAACTCGATGATTCGCCATGAAATAGGAAGTTGTTGTAACTTCAGTCTACAAGCTCACATCTGCACCAAACTTTATATGTATAATAAGAGTCCCGCCCTGAACACACCCCTATGCCAATATTCACTCAAAGTCATAGCGCCACCTGCTGGCAACAGGAAATGACACATTTTACGCTGTAATGTACTACTCCTAGCAGGTTGGACATATCAACTTCAAAACTGTCCCAGGAAACCCTGAACACATTGATGAGGCCATGTTGTAAAACTTGTGAGTTCACAGTTAAAGCCGTGGCGGTGGCGTGGCGGCGAAGTTCCACGCTTCGCCATGACACAGGAAGTTGTTGTAACTTGACTGTACAAGGTCAGATCTGTACGAAATTTTACACGTTTAATAAAAATCCTGCACTGAACACATGCCGACATTCACCCATGGTCGTAGCGCCACCTGCTGGCAACAGGAAGTGACCTTTAACGAAGCAGCGCCCGAACACATCTACATGCCAATATTTAGTTATAGTCATAGCGTCAAGTGCTATGTAGCGCCACAAATGGGACACAGGAAGTGATGATTAACACCTTTGTGCAGTATCTGAAGCACATGCCAAATTCACAGGCACATTCTCCAGAATCTGCAACGCGGCCGCCGCACACCTTGACGCGCTACACGTGCGAGGGCCCGCCCAACGCTGCTTGCAGCTTTAATGTAGTTTGAATCCGCCATAGAGCACGTTGTCACTTCTGTTCTTTCTCTCTCTTTCTGCAGACTTACTACCGTGTCAGTAACATGGACGGCCGCCTGTCCAATCCCGATCAGTCTCTCACCGAGGACATCGTCATGTTTTCAGCCTCCATCGCCCACCTGTACTCCAACCTCACCAAACCCATCCTGGACGTGGTCGTCACCTGCTACACGCTGCTGCGCACCGCACACTCCAAAGGTGCGTTCGCTTTAACACGAGACACTCTGAAGGTCGGAGAGTGTGTGTTACTGACTGTGATCTTCCTTCCTGCAGGGGCCAACACCACGTGGCCGTCCGTCATCGCCGGCCTGGTGGTGGTGCTCACCGCCAAAGTCCTGCGCTCCTGCTCGCCTCGATTCGGGAAGCTGGTGGCCGAGGAAGCGAGGAGGAAAGGAGACCTGAGATACATGCACTCTCGCATCATCGCCAACTCCGAGGAGATCGCTTTCTACGGAGGACACAAGGTGACACACGCCGCCTAGTGGACAGGAAGGACATGAGGCTTGAATAAGAATCTCAGTCAGGCCATGAAGTCTTTTCCATCCCAAAGTCTCACAGTGTGTTTCATAATAATATGTAACATTGAGTTTGGGTGCGTTTGATTCGCAGACGGAGATGGCCCTGTGTCTGATGATAACGTTTAGTTTGGGTGCGTTTGATTCGCAGGTGGAGATGGCCCTGTGTCTGATGTAACGTTTAGTTTGGGTGCGTTTAATTCGCAGGTGGAGATGGCCCTGTGTCTGATGTAACGTTGAGTTTGGGTGCGTTTGATTCGCAGGTGGAGATGGCCCTGTGTCTGATGTAACGTTGAGTTTGGGTGCGTTTGATTCGCAGGTGGAGATGGCCCTGTGTCTGATGTAACGTTGAGTTTGGGTGCGTTTGATTCGCAGGTGGAGATGTCCCTGTGTCTGATGTAACGTTGAGTTTGGGTGCGTTTGATTCGCAGGTGGAGATGGCCCTGTGTCTGATGTAACGTTGAGTTTGGGTGCGTTTGATTCGCAGGTGGAGATGTCCCTGTGTCTGATGTAACGTTGAGTTTGGGTGCGTTTGATTCGCAGGTGGAGATGTCCCTGTGTCTGATGTAACGTTGAGTTTGGGTGCGTTTGATTCGCAGGTGGAGATGTCCCTGTGTCTGATGTAACGTTGAGTTTGGGTGCGTTTAATTCGCAGGTGGAGATGGCCCTGTGTCTGATGTAACGTTGAGTTTGGGTGCGTTTAATTCGCAGGTGGAGATGGCCCGCTGTCTGATGTAACGTTGAGTTTGGGTGCGTTTAATTCGCAGGTGGAGATGGCCCAGCTGCAGAGGAGCTACACGTCTCTGACTTCTCAGATCCATCAGATCCTGCTGAAGCGTCTGTGGTACATCATGCTGGAGCAGTTCCTCATGAAGTACGTGTGGAGCGCCTCCGGCCTGGTGATGGTCGCCGTGCCAATCATCACTGCCACGGGATACTCTGAACACGGTAAATACACGCCGAGAATCCGTCACGCACACACTGCCGGTGACGGCATCAGAGTAATGATGTCAGCTGTGACCTTTGACTTGTGATGTCAGACTCTGAGGAGGTGAAGCAGGCTGTCATGGTGATGAAGGAGGAGGAGCTGGTGAGTGAGAGGACGCAGGGCTTCACCACGGCCAGAAACCTCCTCAACGCCGCCGCCGACGCCGTGGAGAGGATCATGAGCTCGTACAAGGAGGTACGCATCCTCCTCCTCTTTGCCTCCTGTAGCTCCTCCTCCTTCTGAAACACCTCCTCCTTCTGAAACTCCTCCTTCTGAAACTCCTCCTCCTCTGTCTGAAACTCCTCCTCCTTCTGAAACACCACCTCTGTCTGAAACACCTCTTTCTCTGTCTGAAACACCTCCTCTGTCTGAAACACCTCCTCTGTCTGAAACTCCTCCCTTTTCTGAAACACCACCTCCTCTGTCTGAAACTCCTCCCTTTTCTGAAACACCACCTCCTCTGTCTGAAACTCCTCCCTTTTCTGAAACACCACCTCCTCTGTCTGAAACACCTCTTTCTCTGTCTGAAACACCTCTTTCTCTGTCTGAAACACCTCTTTCTCTGTCTGAAACACCTCTTTCTCTGTCTGAAACACCTCTTTCTCTGTCTGAAACACCTCTTTCTCTGTCTGAAACTCCTCCTCCTCCTTCTGAAACACCTCAGTCAGAAACACCTCCTCTGTCTGAAACACCTCTTTCTCTGTCTGAAACTCCTCCTCCTCTGTCTGAAACTCCTCCTCCTCTGTCTGAAACACCTCCTCCTTCTGATACACCACCTCCTCCTTCTGAAACACCACCTCCTCCTTCTGAAACACCTCCTCTGTCTGAAACACCTCCTCCTCTGTCTGAAACACCTCCTCCTCCTCTGAAACACCTCCTCCTCTGTCTGAAACACCTCTTTCTCTGTCTGAAACACCTCTTTCTCTGTCTGAAACACCTCTTTCTCTGTCTGAAACACCTCTTTCTCTGTCTGAAACACCTCCTCCTCTGTCTGAAACTCCTCCTGCAGGTGACGGAGTTGGCCGGTTACACGGCTCGAGTCTCTGAGATGCTGGACGTGTTTGAAGATGTGAAGGAGGGAATCTACCGCCGCTCTGCAGACAGAGAGGAGGAGCTAACAGGAGGAGGAGCCGTGGTTCAGCACGGTCAGAGGGTCTGTGGTCGTCTGGAGATCAGAGGTAGGGCGCCGGACTCGTCTACCTGTTCAGATCTTCTTCCTGAATGTTTGACTTGTGATGCAGAGGATCTTTTTATAGTGTGTGAAAAGAATGATTTAAAATACTCTGTGGATCCGGTTCTTCTTCTGGACTCTCGGTTCTGGTTCCTTCACCTCGGATCTTGTCAGCGCTCGGTGACCTTCCTCCTCTCCTTCCTGTCTCTAAAGTGAGAGGAGTCTCTGTCCTAGAGCGGCGTCTCTGGGTCTCACCTGTAGCCATCGTCGGTTTCCCTTCAGTATAAAAGGTGAACGTCGGCTCACCTGTGTTTTGGACCTGAGGCGTTGCTGCTGTTAGCGTCAGCTGGATCTGGGAGAGCGCGACACGTTGAACACGGTGACACGTTGAACGCGGCGACGCGTTCCTTCAGATTCACCCCGTGTTGAAGGAAACGCTTCGTCACGTCGGAGCTGCTTCCTCCTTTGCACCGAACCTCCTGACTGCAGCTGCTGCAGTTTGTTAGTGAAGCTGAGCCAAACTTTGGAGCGTTTGCTGCGGCCCGTCACGGTCCGGGACCAGGACCGGAACCAGAAGGACTCTCTTCTTCACGCTTTGTTGACGTTCGGTCGGCGTAGCAGCTCCTGGCAGATCAGAGACACTCTGATGGGCTGTAAACATGAGACATGCAGGAAGTTTTGAACCGAGGAGCAGGATCCAAACGCACGGGTCTTAACGAGTCCACGGTTCTCGATACTCAGCCCTACATGAGACTGTCAGGTGTGTAAATCTGTAAAGCGTTTTGGGCGGCTTGATTGCGCACAAAGTCGACGTAAAGATGTCATTTCCTGCGAATTCGCTCCGGACGGCACGAAAGACGCGTTTGTCGCGTCATTCGACATTCTGTCTGAAACACCTCCTCTTTCTGAAACATCACCTCCTTCTCTGTCTGAAACATCACCTCCTTCTCTGTCTGAAACATCACCTCCTCCTCTGTCTGAAACATCACCTCCTCCTCTGTCTGAAACACCTCCTCTGTCTGAAACATCACCTCCTCCTCTGTCTGAAACATCACCTCCTTCTCTGTCTGAAACATCACCTCCTCCTCTGTCTGAAACATCACCTCCTCCTCTGTCTGAAACACCTCCTCTTTCTGAAACATCACCTCCTTCTCTGTCTGAAACATCACCTCCTTCTCTGTCTGAAACATCACCTCCTCCTCTGTCTGAAACACCTCCTCTGTCTGAAACATCACCTCCTCCTCTGTCTGAAACATCACCTCCTCCTCTGTCTGAAACACCTCCTTCTCTGTCTGAAACACCTCCTCTGTCTGAAACATCACCTCCTTCTCTGTCTCCTTCTCTGTCTGAAACATCACCTCCTTCTCTGTCTCCTTCTCTGTCTGAAACATCACCTCCTCCTCTGTCTGAAACACCTCCTTCTCTGTCTGAAACACCTCCTCTGTCTGAAACATCACCTCCTTCTCTGTCTCCTTCTCTGTCTGAAACATCACCTCCTTCTCTGTCTGAAACACAGATAAACACAGATAAATTCGGGAGACCAGATTCTATTTCTATCTATTTCTTGGCTCCACGTCACCTTGTGCTGCTGTGCTAATTTGAATTTCCCCTACAGCTGATCCATAAAGGAACCTTTCAGCTTCATCTGAAAGACTCTTTAACTCCTCCTCAGCACTGCAAACCAGTTTTATTTCTGTATATCATTATTTAATATTTGTACATAACCTTTGATCTGTGAACTACAAACTGCATCTCGTACCTCGTTATAACAGATGGATCGTAACTCTTTAGTGTTGCTTTGAGTTTCAGAAGACATGATGAAGTCTGTGTGTGCAGGTCACGTGATCAGTGTGGAGAAGGGGATTCGCTGTGAGAACCTGCCAATCATCACTCCGACCGGAGACGTGGTGGTTTCCAGCCTCAACATCCAGGTAACGCATGCAGCGATGCAGTGTGTGTGTGTGGCCACACGGGGTCAGTGTTGTTCCTCTTCACTGATGATCCCTCACAGTCAGATTAAATCAAAGCCTTATGTCTCTGTCAATATGATCTTAATCATCTAAAATCAGTTCAGGCGCATTGCCCCTAAAAATAGGTCTCCTCCACCTCGCCGCAATCCATCCGTTTATTTATTTATCAATTCATTTAAATGGGACAGCTCATATTAATGAACATATTAAGTGCAATTTTAATTGTATTAAAGTTCTATTTAGTGCAGCAGGGTCAGTTATGAGGTGACTGTTTGTGTCCCCAGTGCAAATCATTTTGTGAAGTGTTTTTTTGGACAAATACTAGTTACTTAAAGTCAGTTGTTATTAATTCTGATCACAATGAGACTCCTCAGTTGTTGTTTTTAACATTTTCAAAGCTTTGGTTTCAGAGGTACTCTGGGATTTTGCCATGTCCCCAGTCAGCTGTGATCTAAAATATAACCCGTAAAAACACACGTAATTCCAAATATTTCATTGTTATTTAATTTTTTTATGTTCAAAATCTATTTAACCAAATGATGTTTTATCAAAATTTTTCACTTTTGTACAAAAGAAATAAGGTTTTATGTTTGTCCCCAGTTTGACATTTTTTAGGGAGGAACCGAAATGAAAATTCTTGGCCGAAACCGAATATAATGAAAACACTTTCCTGAACACAGAACACAGTCACATTTTTTCCATTTATTTTGCCTCTTTGTTTACCATTGGATAAATTAAACAGTCAAAATGAGCTTTTTCCTCAGTGTAGCTATGGTGGGGGGGTCCGGGGCCCGAGAGGGGCCGGTAAAGTAAATTACATGAGTCCATTTACTTTTAATAGACACATGTAATATATTTTCTACTTCCTGTGAATATAATCCAGTTAATCTTATTTCCATCCTGTACAGACGCCTTATTTTGAAAACCGGACGTTGTCACATGTGTTTCCTCCTCGTGCTAAATCCATCCAGTCCGACCCGGTTTGATAAATAAAGTTGTAACATGAAGACTTCACAGCTTCTCTTCATACTAAAGAGACAAAGTGACAGGATAAAGTCTCTAACCTGCCTGTCAGCTCGCTCTGGGCCGCTTCACTTACCGTAAAGGCTGGAATACGTGTGCACTCCAAATTTAGGCGCGGCTAACTTAATCGCCGTCTCACAGACGAGAGACAGAAACACTCAAAGCGGTTCTTTTCTAAGAAGTCAGCCACAGATGGAGCAGATGTGCTGGAGACAGTTCAGCAGGACAGCGTCTGCAAACGGCTCGGACTCTTTAAAATGCTTCCACGCTGCCGACATCTTGGCAACGCGATTGTTCAGTAAAGTTTATTCGGTCATTAGACTCATTAGGCCGAACACAGAAAGGGCTGTTTTTGCTGTTTTCAGCCGAACATTCGGTTCATCCCATTTACATTCAGTCAGTTCAATGTGTTTGGACGTTACGTGTCCACCCTGTCAGGCCTCGGTTCTGAGGAGATCAATAGATTCCTCATCGAGGGTTGAAGGTCATGTGAGCCATCGTGCTCACGAGACGTTGAGTAATTCTTATCATAAATCACTTTTCTTGTGTAAAAACACGTTTTCTGAACGCGCTTGTTTTTCTCACCACTGTGCTGTTTACAAATGACTTTATTGTTCTATCAAATATCTAATAAGAGTGAGGAACATGTGATTTCTATAAAAATATCTTTTTAGTAGCAACGATGCCCTGAAAACCCTTTAAAACAGTTATATCTGTCGTCCTGCGTGTCACATGTTGTTAATATATCTGACTTTAATACAGTAAAGGAGCTCGACCAGTATGTTTTTCATGAAGTTAGATCCTTGATGTGACAGAACTTTAAAATATAGCTCAACTATTTATTTATCCTCAGTTTTGATGTCCAAATGGGACGACAACGTTGTCGGACTGGTCGATCTGTGGCCGCAGCTCGTTTTTACAACAAGAGTGATGATCTGTGTTTTTAAAAACGTTTCCAGTGTTTCAGCTTTTCAAAAATCTGACTTTGAAGGCCCGTGCCGAATGTCCAGACACCGGCGTCTTCACTTCCAGTGTTTCTCAGCTCACATAGGATGGTGATGACGTCAGTCAGTACTGAGCACGCTCAGTGCGCCGCACTCCTTTATCTCTGTTACCATCTCTGAGGTCAGAGGTCAGAGCCGAGGCTACAGCTCATTAGCACGCACACACAACAGAGCGATTATAGAGACTTTTCTGTGGTGAAGACAGAGGAAGAGCGAGGCGAGATGGAAAGAGAAGAAGAAGAAGAGGAACATTGATGGCAACAGAAACGCTTCTCTGTCGTCTGATTCTCGACCTTCGACCTCGTCGCCCTCATACACGCTCTGTGATTGGTCCATTCTCTCTGGGTGTCGTGAGGAAGAGTTCAGCGTCTGCAGTCACGTCTATGGAGACATTTTCCAGCGTTTCAGGTCGGACGTTAGAGCGACGGCATGTAGAAAGATGCCAGTGAAGGTCCCAAGGAAGCAGGAGTGAGGATCTCCCTAACGATTCGATTTGATTACCTTTCAGAGAGCTGCGATTATCGATGCATCTTCTTTTTCTGTACAGGATTTTTGGAAAATTACTAAACTTTTATTTGCACATTAAAATCCTCGTTTGCCTCCGTAATGCACTTTACTAAGCTCAGCTCCTCCTGCTCGCCAGCGTGCTTCCTTTAAGTTTTCTGACTTATCTGCAGGCGGAAAGATAGTTGAACCATCAGTCTGTGTTCAGGACAGAGCAGCCAAAATCATTAGTGCATCGATATTAATCATTCATGCTGCAGCGGCTGTGAGCCGGATACAGGGTGGACGCCACGGATTGTCCTGCTGCTGAATTTCCCAGAGTTTCACCATTAAAATCGTGTTATTAGTTAACATTTCGTTCATTCAGCTACATGCCCTGTTAAGAGAAATAACTGCCACATGTGACCTGCATTTGTCCCTTTCATTTATATGTGATGTTGTTTGTTTTATTTCTATTTAAATTGTAACTGAGCCGTCTGTTTTCCTTCTGTGCAGCAGAGCGTAAATGTAAACATGGACGAATTGTACCAATTTACATTTACTCATTTGGCAGACGCTTTTATTCAAAGCGACTTCAACAGAGCATGAAACACAGCACGAGATCTACAGCTGACAATAAAGACTAGTAAGAGCTAACACTAGTAAGGGACTGAGGTCGCTTTGTGTGAAGGGATGGCAGAGCCAGACGGCGTTCACTGGAGGAGCGCAGTGTCCCAGAAGGAACGTGGGCTTGGATTATGGAGTTTAGGTAGATGGTGCAGACCCAGGAGGAGCTCTGGATGCAGCATCAGGGACTTCGATTAGATTCTGGAGACCCCGAGGAGCCAGTGGAGGTCACTGAGTGATGGAGGGACATGAAACCAGTCCAAAAGGACTCAAGTCGCTCCATTACTGTGTGGCCTCCACTCGCTCCCCGGGGCCTACCTACTACCATTTCTGTGAGATAAAATATAACTACCTTCGGACTGTTCTGAAATATTGGTATTTTAGAATTCCAATTAAAAACCTTTTCTATTGATAAACAAGTTCTTTGAGCCAGAAGCCACGAAACAAGCAGCAAGCACGTAGAGTTTCAAACTGTGGCTTTTCTTCCCCTCAGGTGGACGAGGGGATGAACGTGTTGATCACAGGTCCAAACGGCTGCGGGAAGAGTTCTCTGTTCAGGATCCTCAGTGGACTGTGGCCTGTTTATGGAGGAGTACTGTACCGTCCAGAACCACAGCACATGTTCTACATCCCTCAGAGGTAATACTACTACAACTACTACAACTACTAGTATTATGCTGTCCAGTTGTTCTTCACACCAGGTCTGCAGTCAGCAGCGCCGGCCCGTGTCATAGGCGGTTGCCTTGGGCGCAAACTGTCAGGGGGCTCCGCAATAGACGGTTTTCAACTCTGTGTCAATCAACTGTGCCCAGCTTCTGCGACACCGGCGTACGCCGTGATGGTAATTAAGGGCGCTTTCACACCTGCCTCATTTACTTCGGTTGAATCGCACTAGAGTTCGTTTTGGGCAGGTGAGAATGCAGCACTTGCACTCGGGTGCGCACCACAAGCGTACCGAGACCTGCTTGAAGAGGCGGTCTCGGTACGCTTTCAAACAAACTCTGGTGCGGTTCGCTTGTGGTGTGAAAGCAAACAAACCAACCTCAGGATTTTATGACAGCAGAGATCTGATCTGAGCTTTATTTCCAAAGCTGAACCTCTAATAAATCCGTCTGCTGACTGCGACATGTGTTCAGCAATCTTATAATTGATCTGTATAAGCCGCTGTGTTTACGTTTATGTTTAAGTCTTTTGGTAACGTCAGCGCGGGTATTTTCCCTGATTAATAGGTTAAAATCTGTTTAAAAAAAGGAGAGCACTCCGTTTACCCTGTCACTTCATTAAGTCCACAAAACATGTGTGACAGCGAGACCGCAGCATAAACCCTGAATAATTCCTGCACTACATTATTCATATTAGGCTCTGCGGTCGACCTGCGGTCTAACTTCAGGCTACAATTCATGCTCATAATAAATTATTACTTTGTGAGTGTGAACATGAACCGGACCAGAACTGAAATGCAGCAGTGTATCGGTTTTTTTTCACTTGGTCGGCACCAAATGAACCGAACTACCGGTGTGAAAACGCACTGGCGCTGTGAGTCCAGACAGTCGGGACGAGTCATGTCGTATTTTTGCAACATAAACATGTAAAACCTGAAGCGCAGCCCTGCTCTGTATCTGCTGAAGTTCGCCTGTGGATTTGTGGTGAAATTTCTGTTTCAGCTGGTTTCGGTTTCACACGCAGCATTCAGTCCCAAACTGCGTCGGCCAAACAGTCTGAAGGGGATAATGCACAGCAGAGGACAGGTCTTTGTCTTTGTCTTTGTCTTTGTCTTTGGCAGAGATTCTGAATGTACAGCAGGTTTTGAACATGAGCTGAAAACCTGCTGAAACACAGCAGCCACTAAAGTCCAGGAGTTTATAATGAACATTAAAATGAGCTTATTTGAGGTGTCACATGCAAAAGACAGAGGAGAAAGAGGAGGGAAGGCTGAATCACACCTGCATGTGCGCTGACTCAGCAGGGATTTTATTAAATCAGAAAAGTTGATCTACAGGAGAAAAGATTTAAAAGCAGTAGCTACAGAATGCCTGAAACTCTCTCTGCATTATAGAAGTTAATATTTTAGATTTTGATTTGTCATCTGACGCCTGTATTTTGTGTTTTTCTGAGCAGTTGAAACTTTTCCAGCAGAATTTTTCACCAGACTGCAGGAAATGAAGTCTTCCGAGCTTAAACTTTTCTGTGGGACGGCCCCCAGACCCTCCTCTTCATTTGAGTCCCCCCCCACCAATTTCTCACCTAGGGCTCCAAAAGTCGTCAGTGACGTCTGTCGAGATGCCTCTGTAGCTCGGCCCTCGGCTGCCGGACCCGAGCGGCGGCAAGAAGCTTCACTGTTGAAGTACTGATGTGGTTCTGTGTACTGCGCAGGCCCTACATGTCAGAGGGGACCCTCAGAGACCAGGTGATCTACCCGGACTCGCTGGAGGAGATGGTTCAGAGAGGAGTCAGAGATTCAGATCTGGAGGAAATCCTTCGGACCGTCCACCTGCTCTACATCCTGGACAGAGAGGGAGGTCAGTGAGTGTTTAGGATTAACGAGTTAATCATCAGCTGATCTGCAGGTAAACCGTTTGATCCAATCAGAGCTGGCTCTGTCACCACATGATCCTCTCAACTAAATTCATACTGTTAGAAATCCTCTTTCATAATAATATGAAATGTGAGTTTACTTTCGCAGAGCTGGAACCTGCTGACGGGGCCCCGGCCCTGAACGCACCGCAGAGCTCCTGGTCTTTACTGTTTGTTGTGGTGTCTCCGTCAGGCTGGGAGTCGGTCAGCGACTGGAAAGACGTTCTGTCTGGAGGAGAGAAACAGAGGATGGGGATGGCTCGCATGTTCTACCATCGGTAAATGTTTACTGACTGCACCTCCAAAAGGTCTCGCACACAGACCAGGTTCAGTAAAGCCGCCGTCCTCCTGATCCGTCCTGAGCTCCGTCAGAGCGTCTGAAGGGGTTTTTCAGAAGTGAAACCTCTGGAGACTTTAAAACTACAGTGTGTGACAGCAGCCTCTGTGCATGATTAGTCCAGATCCACCAGTGGATCCTGTTCCCAGCTGTAGTCCCGGTCTCTGAGGAGGTACTCTGGACCTGGAGCCGGATCGGAGGCTGAACACGATGATGGATGTTTACTGACTTCTCTCTCTCTTTCTCTGCGTGTTGTGTGAATGTCTCTCGTCCAGCCCTCGCTACGCTCTGCTGGACGAGTGTACGAGCGCCGTCAGCATCGACGTGGAGGGAAGCATCTTCCAGGCTGCAAAGGATGCTGGGATAGCCCTGCTGTCAATCACGCACAGACCCTCCCTGTGGTGAGCACACACACACAGCAGGACATGGATTATTATTGGAACAGTAACATCAGGTAGTTTCAGTGTCTTCAGCCTGCAGGGGGCAGCAGAGCTCCGAGCTGCTCCGGCTGCCACACCCTGATGTTTCTGTCCTCCTCTTCTTCTGTCTCCTCTAACAGGAAGTACCACTCTCACCTGCTGCAGTTTGATGGAGAAGGAGGATGGAGGTTTGAACCTCTGGACGCCTCCACCCGTCTCTCCCTGCAGGTCTGTCTGGTGTTGAAATCAAACCCTTACTGTTGCTGCTCCTCAGCCTCGGTGGAGCTCTGCACATCGTTTCCTGTCCTGGCTTTTTAAAATACCCAAAAGCGTGTTAAAGAAAGAAAAAGGGTCACCAGATTCAGACTTCGGGTTGAGTTCACCAACATGAAAGCTCCTGTTCACTCAGGAAAGGATTTATATTTAAATCACAGCAAATATTGGTTGGAGGTAGATTTTTCTTCTGTTTTTTTATGCAGCATTTTTTTCAGCACCTGCCTGAAACCTCTGCACAGAACTTTATGTGCTGCACATAAATAAACACACCGATCAGCCGTAACGTCCTGAGCGCCTGACAGGTGAAGCGTAGAACGCTGATTACCTGGTCACCTGTCAGGCGGCAGGTCAACATCGTGTCCTCAGAGTTGATGTGTTTGAAGCAGGAGCAATGGGCAGCGTGAGGATCGAAGGCCAGCCCGACGAGCTGCTGCTGGTTCTGATAGAAAGGGGTCCAGGGCTCGACGGGTCGGGGCAGCAGGTGGTCATAATGTTATGGCTGATCGGTGGAATCATCAGAGGCCCCACGATACGATATCATTGCTATTTATTACCTTTTTTCCAACTTTGTCAACATCTTTTTTTATCTAAAAAGATAAATTTCTCACTTTTTTAGTCCCCCAGATGGAGCTGTTGAGTTTTCTGTTGGACTGAAACACGATTCTTAAATTCTGATGTGCAATCTAAACAATAAAACATCGATACTTGTGTACGTTACGTGTATCGATACAGTATTGCCACGAAAGATATTGCGATACTATGCTGTATTGATTTTTTTTGTGTGTGTGCTTCTGTCTGTGTATGTCCGCCCTCTGATTGGCTGGTTACCTGTCCAGGTGTAACCCCGCCCCGCGTCCACACACCACGTGTTTCAGTGAGCTCGACACTCAGCTCAGTGAATCTGTTCAGTTTGTGAAGATGTGAAAATAAATAAATAAATAAATAACTGAACTTCCTCAGCTGACCCACGGGCCCTGCTGCGGTAACCATGGTAACCAGCGTCCGTGCAACATCACGCCTCCGGCACGTTGTGTGTCTGTGTGTGTGTGTGTGTGTGTGTGTGTGTAAAACAGAGTGAGAGGAAATCAACCAATCAGCTGCCTACGCGTTTTGTTTAAAATGATCGTGAAACTTTATTTAAACGGGTCGCGCTGACGCTTTTTGTCTGCTTCCTTTCTCAGGAGGAGAAACACCGACTGGAGAGTCAGCTGTCGGGGATTCCCAAGATGCAACAGAGACTGGCGGAGCTGTGTGTCCTGCTGGGGGAGGAGGAGGAGTGAACTGCAGAGGAAGAGTCCCTGATGGAAGAAATCTGCTTTTTTTAATAGTTACCATGGAGACACACACAGCAGGCTGATCATGTGATTGATCTGATGGTTGTAAGTTTCTCGGGCTGATCTGGTGTCTGTTGTGAGTTTAACTGGTGTGATGGAGCTGCTCACTAACAGGACCGGTCCTTGATTACAGACGGTGATCAGAAACATTAATAAAGAACTTTAATATGAGACGTTATAAACGAGACGAAGCTGCACAATCGCCAGGAACAATTTACAAAAGTAGTAAAAACTAGGGCTGAACAATCCAAATCACAGCACGGCCTACCGACATATTTGTTAAAGGTCATGTGTGCCAAAATAACATGTTAAATTAATCAGCCCCTCCAGGATTTTGCCATCACAACTACAAACCCCCGCGAGTTCGTTGCCACGCATCATCAAACTCACTTCGTTGTTTAGAAGACCAGGAATCCAGATCTTCTTCACCAAAGTGGGTAACATAAAGAGAGAGAACGTTAGAAACTCATGGAGGACGTCAGACGTGACTCTGAGACGCAGGCTGCTGCATGCATTTAAGGATTCAGCTTTAAAACGTTTAAAACGTCACAGTTTTCACTTATTCCCACAGTTTCACCTCAGAAAAATGCCCAAGAACATCACAGTTTTTTTTTTTTTTAAACTGCAGCAAAATCACAAAAAAGTCCCGCGAGATCCTGGAGGGACTGATATAAGATCGTGTCCCACAAATCATCTTCTAGAGACTTAAGAAAACATCTGTGTTTGGTACAGATCCTGCAAAAGTCGCACTGTAATTCATTCTAATGTTTTTCAACGAAAATGAGAGCAATGATGTAAAAATGATCAACGGACCACGGTCGCCCGCTGAGGCTGCAAAGGTTCAAACTGCTCACCTGAAACTCATCGTTCACACAGCGACAGCAGAACCTGCAGGAGCAACCTGCTCAAGGACACTTCGACTCGATCAAACCGCCGACCTTCTGATTAGTGGACGACCCGCTCTACCTCCTGAGCCGCGGCTCTGAGTTTTTTTTTTTTTTTTTGTGAACAAACTGATAATTGATGATTATTCAAATTAATATATATTAAAACAGAGAATCTGATGAAGCCTCCTGTGTGCTCCTGTTTGTTTTTTAATGTAATCTGTTCTAGAACAGCCTGCCCTGGTTTGTGCTGGAATATTTATTTTTTATTAATATAAAGTTATTAATATTCTGAATATGTGATGCAGATAAAGTTAAACGTAGAAAGCAGAGAAGAAGAAAAGTATTTCCTGATTAATAGTGGATTATTTGTTCAGGATCAGTTCAGGTTTCAGTCAGAGTTTTACGCTTGTAAGTCTGAACAGTCACAGCCTCTACTGATTAATGCAAATATTGGTCTTTTGTCCCTGTCAGGGTCCTGTGGACTGATGTTTCCAGTGATCTGATTGGTCAGTGTTATCTGTGAACATGGTGATCTAGACCAGTTAAAATTAAACGAGCCTCATGACACCTGGAGTGGATTCAGGCCCGACAAAACATAGCAAAACACTTATTTGTGTTGGACACCCTTTTATGCGAGTGTTGCAACTACGGCAGCTGAGAAGGACATGATGAAATCTATTTGTACACAAAATTCTGCGTTTGCCGTCCACAGTAGCCGAGAACATTGAGTTAAAGGCTTTGTGGGAACTCGGGGGCCACCAAACAGACCTTAAAGTTGCTTCACATGTTTCACACTGCTTCACATTTCACCCCGCTTCACATGTTTCACAGAGTTTCACGTTTCACATCGTTCCACATGTTTCACATTGTTTCACGTTTCACACTGTTTCACGTTTCACACCGCTTCACGTTTTACATCGTTCATGTTTCACATAGTTTCACGTTTCACACTGCTTCATGTTTACATCGTTCATGTTTCACACCGTTTCACGTTTCACACCGCTTTACATGTTTCACACCGCTTTTCATGTTTCACACTGTTTCACGTTTCACACCGCTTCACGTTTCACCCCGCTTCACGTTTTACATCGTTCATGTTTCACATAGTTTCACATTTCACACTGCTTCATGTTTACATCGTTCATGTTTCACACCGTTTCACGTTTCACACCGCTTTACATGTTTCACCCTGCTTCATGTTTTACATCGTTCATGTTTCACACCGTTTCACGTTTTACATCGTTCATGTTTCACACCGTTTCACGTTTTACATCGTTCATGTTTCACACCGTTTCACGTTTCACACCGCTTTACATGTTTCACCCTGCTTCATGTTTTACATCGTTCATGTTTCACACCGTTTCACGTTTCACACCGCTTCACATGTTTCACACAGTTTCACATTTCACACTGCTTCATGTTTACATCGTTCACGTTTCACACCGCTTTACATGTTTCACCCTGCTTCATGTTTTACATCGTTCATGTTTCACACCGTTTCACATTTTACATCGTTCATGTTTCACACCGTTTCATGTTTTACATCGTTCATGTTTCACACCGTTTCACGTTTCACACCGCTTTACATGTTTCACCCTGCTTCATGTTTTACATCGTTCATGTTTCACACCGTTTCACGTTTCACACCGCTTCACATGTTTCACACAGTTTCACATTTCACCCTGCTTCATGTTTTACATCGTTCATGTTTCACACCGTTTCACATTTCACACCGCTTTACATGTTTCACACCGCTTCACATGTTTCACACAGTTTCACATTTCACACTGCTTCATGTTTACATCGTTCATGTTTCACACTGTTTCACGTTTCACACCGCTTTACATGTTTCACCCTGCTTCATGTTTTACATCGTTCATGTTTCACACAGTTTCACGTTTCACACTGCTTCACATTTTACATCGTTCATGTTTCACACAGTTTCACGTTTCACACTGCTTCACGTTTTACATCGTTCATGTTTCACCCCGCTTCACGTTTTACATTGTTCATGTTTCACACCGCTTTACATGTTTCACACCGCTTCACATGTTTCACACAGTTTCACGTTTCACACTGCTTCATGTTTACATCGTTCATGTTTCACATAGTTTCACGTTTCACACTGCTTCACGTTTTACATCGTTCATGTTTCACACCGTTTCACGTTTCACACCGCTTTACATGTTTCACTCAGTTTCACATTTCACACTGCTTCACGTTTTACATCGTTCATGTTTCACACCGTTTCACGTTTCACACCGCTTTACATGTTTCACTCAGTTTCATGTTTCACACTGCTTCACGTTTCACACTGCTTCACGTTTTACATCGTTCATGTTTCACACAATTTCACGTTTCACACTGCTTCACGTTTCACACTGCTTCACGTTTTACATCGTTCATGTTTCACACAGTTTCACGTTTCAAACTGCTTCACGCTTCACACCACTTCACGTTTTACATCGTTCATGTTTCACACCGCTTCACGTTTTACATCGTTCATGTTTCACACCGCTTCACGTTTCACACCGTTTCTCGTTTCACATCGTTTCACACCGCTTCACGTTTCACACACTTCACGTTTCACATCGTTTCACACCGCTTCACGTTTCACACACTTCACGTTTCACATCGTTTCACACCATTTCACGTTTCACATACTTCACATTTCGTGCTCATATTTAGAGAACACATTAATTTATTCTTTGTAAGAATCTCACTTTATATTATTAATATGTAGAATAATGAATAGACCTCAGACTCATGTTCACGTGTTGTCCTGCTCATTAAGGGACGTAATAATCAGAACAACTAATCAGATAATAATATTCAGCCACTAATTACTAATGTCCAAAAAATGTCTCACTGGACACCTGTGACTCAGGTGTTTCCAGCTCTGAGCTGAATCTGTCTTCCTCTCTCATCTGTTCAGTTTACTTAAAATCTCATTAGCTGGAACCTGTTCATTTAAAGGTACTTATACTTTAATTGAGTATTTATCTTCAAGTCTTTCTCTCACATACACAATCAACAGACACTATCTGAATATTTTGCTCGAGGACACTTGAACACACAGACGGGAGGAGCCGGGGATCGAACCTCCGCCCTCCTGATCAGTGGGCGACCCAACCGGAGCCGATCAGAGAGTCTGATTCAGGTCTGGGTCTCAGAGTATTTGCCACCTTTGAGATAAACCCAAAGAGTCAGAATCAGTAATCGATTCTCTTCATGTATGATATGTGAGCCAGGCAGCAGCTGGTTGCGGGTTCGGTTCCCGGCAGCCGGGCAGGACCTCTTTTTTTTTTTTAGGAGCGCCAGAAAATCCTACCGGCGTCGTGCGCAGCGGGGCGGGGTCTCTGTCGGACCTGTTGTGCGGCTGTCGGTGCGGATTGTGCTGGTTTGTATCTCTGCGGATTTCTGGAAGTTTCACAGCGCAGTTTGGACCCCGGCGGACCGCAGACCAGCCCGCCGAGCTCAGGTGAGTCTGACCCGGATCACACTGCCCCCCTTTTCACGGCTCCAACTTGTCCCGAGCTGCAGCTGCTGCAGGAAGGAAGGAGCGTGAGTGCTTCAGGCGTGTGACAGCACCGCGACAAACTCCGTTTGCATATCCGACCGTTTAAAATGTTCTCGGTTATCTTTGTTTTATTTCACTGAAATAAATAAGTCAGTGTGTCTTCAGACTCGAGGTGAGCCGGCCTTTAATTCGGCTTTAGTTGTTTAGTTAAATGTCAGTTTTCTGTGTCGGGTCTGCGGCTTTAAATCAAACAGCCGTTAAAACACAGCGGCGCAGGCTGGAAATAAGTGCGTTAAAAAGTTGAGATTTCTGTAATGGAGTCTGGTTGGTGGATTGTGAGCGAGCCGAATGTAAAGAAGAGTGAACATTTAAATCACCTGTTCGGTTTAGTTCTGAAAGTTTTTGTGTCCGAGACAGAAACTGGAACTGTTTTTATTTCAGTTTTAATAGTGTCTTTCTGTGTGTCGGGGTGTTCCCAGCCTGTCCTGGCACGGCACGGCTCAGCCCACAGCCTCATACTGAATAGCTGACATTCCAACACACGCACACTGCTGCTGTAGTGTGTTTTTTTAGGAAGAAGTGAAGTTAGAATCCACCTTTGCTGACTTTAGGTAAAGGAAGTCTCACGTGACCTCCTGAGAACACAAACAATGGACAACTCCCCCCCCCCCCCCCCCCCCCCACGCGCGCGCGCACACACAGAGGTAGATCAATCTGCTTTTTCAGAAATACAAAGTGATTAAAACCAGCTGTTTCTGCCACAACATAAACATGTTCTACAATTTTATTTATTCAGCACAAAGGAATAAGTGGAGATGGTAACATGCATTAAAGAGGAGGAGAGAGGAGCTCAGTGCATCATGGGAAATCCCCCGGCAGTCTAGGCCTATAGCAGCATAACTAAGGGATGGTTCAGGACTCACCTGAGCCAGAGGAGCTTGATAGCTGAACGCTCTGGCTCCTAGTCTACTTTTGGAGACTCTAGGAACCACAGGTGCATTCTGGGCAGCGAGGCTAAAGTCTGACTTGTTGACTGATTAAACAAGTGACTTTCTGTCTGGAGTTCTGCGCGGCTGCAGCAGGTTGTCTCTCAGGATTCATTGTTTTCATTCACAAATAAACTCTAAATTATTATTATGGTATGTTCAAGAGAGAATTTTGTTTGTTTGCTTTTTTGCCCATGAAATAGTAAAAAGCCTAAAAATGTCACTTCTGTTAAAAACCAGCGAACATTATTTTCCATTTCTGCTTAAAAAAGTGAAACAATTTCTGATTGACTGAGTAATGTTTCAACTCTAATATATATTATAGTGTATATGTAATAATCTTGTGCATCATGATAACCTTCATAAAGCAACTTTTGATTTTAACATATTGAAACGTGTGAAGAGTTGTGAATTATAAAAAAATAAGTTATTGGTAGCGGTTATTGTGGTTGTGCTTTTTGGATGTACTTAATGGTGGTTTGACACTATTTAAAATTAGTGAATGAAATCTGGTATGAGAGGAAAAAATGTCTGACGTTCGAGGAAGCAGCTGTGACCGCGTCAGGATTTCTTCTTCATGTGTTTCTTTGTATAAAAGCTACATTCCTGTTCCTCCTGACAGTCACAGCTCAGGGTCACAGTGATTAAAATGATAATTTGTTGTTTTCTGAATGA